GCACGGAGCCCCAGGGGGCAGTATGGGAGCCATACGGTGCTATATGGGCTGCACAGAGCCCCGTGGGGCAGTATAGGTGCTATATGGGCTGCACAGAGCCCCACGGGGCAGTATAGGGGCCATAGGGTGCTATATGGGCTGCACGGAGCCCCACGGGGCAGCATAGGAGGTATATGGTGCTATATGGGCTGCACGGAGCCCCACGGGGCAGCATAGGAGGTATATGGTGCTATATGGGCTGCACGGAGCCCCACGGGGCAGTATAGGAGCCATACGGTGCTATATGGGCTGCACAGAGCCCCGTGGGGCAGTATAGGTGCTATATGGGCTGCACAGAGCCCCACGGGGCAGTATAGGAGCCGTATGGTTGCTATATGGGCTGCACAGAGCCCCACGGGGCAGTATAGGAGCCGTATGGTTGCTATATGGGCTGCATAGAGCCCCATGGGGCAGCATAGGAGCTGTACGGTGCTATATGGGCTGCACGGAGCCCCATGGGGCGGTATAGGGGCTGTATGGGCCTTGTCGCGTGCTGCAGGGGCCCTCTGGGCGCTATAGGGGCCAGACCCCTTGCAGGTGGTAGAGGGGTTATAGAGGCCCTATGGGTGTTGTAGGGGCCATATGGTCCCCAGGGGCGTATAGGGACCGTATGGGTTCCCTGGGGACTGTATGGGTTCCCTGGGACCTACAGGGGTCACATGGACCTAGGGGATGTATAGGGGGTCCTTGTAGCTCCTCAGGGGCTGTATGGATCCCTGTAGACCTATAGGGGCTGTGTGGCTCCCCAGGGCTCTATAGGGGCCTTATGGACCCCAGGGACCTATAGAGGCCCTCGTAAATCCCTGGGGGACCTATGGAGGCCCTTATAGATCCCGGAGGCCTATAGAGACCCTTATACGTTCCTGGGCCATATGGACCCCAGGGCCCTGTAGGGGCCATAGGGGGGCCCCCCAGGGCCCTATAGGGACCCTATAGGTTCCTCAGGGCCCTATAGGCACCGTATGGGCCCCCGACGCCTGGGTCCTCCCCCGGTTGGTTTTGGGGGGGGGGTTGGGGTGTTTGG